TAATTGGGGTATAGTAATCAATGTGCTTGTCACCAGCCTCTTTGATATTTTGAACAAGTTTGTTAAAAATATCCAAATTTTCATCTATGTCCTTAGTGAAATCAAGCCTGAATCGGAAAAATTTTTCAAGTAAAAATAGTTTGCCAGGTCAGGAGGTATCAGTATACAGACTATCAAGCTTTTCCCATAGCTCTTTGGCAGAGTCAAGTATACCAACTTTCCTTAACACAGAGTCAGAAAGATTTGAATAAATAGTGGAACAGGCAGTTTCATTCATTTCAAGTTGTTTAGCCTCATTTTCAGTTTTTAAAAACTTGCCAGTGACAACTCTGAAAACCTTTTGCTAAATTAAAACACATTTAATCTTTTGTCTTCATACATCCAAAGCAGTTTTCCCATTAAAGGGTAACATTCCATATTGATTAGTAGTCATGGCAAACAACTCAGAAACCTAAGGAAAATGTCACACAGATAAGTCAAATGGAAACCCTAGAAAGGGTCAAGCAGCGGACTAGAGGACCACGCAGTTCCGAGGCCACTCTGGTGGCTGGCAGGGTATCCCCTAGCCCTAACACCACGTGCCTTTACCAATCAAGGGATAACCACTCTGGTTATGCACAGATAGACCACACAACACTCTAGAAAGAATAAACTATCCAGGTTAACACTCCCACAGACCTCAGCAACCAGATTACACAGATAATCAAACAAAGAAATCCGGAGGCACCCCGTGCACCTAAGGTGTTTCAAGCCAATTTACCTGAGCGGATATCCAGGGGGATTATCCGTCTTACCATGCACGACGAGGAGGAGCCGTTGTCGTCAGAGGTGAGTAGCTGTCGGGTTGACAGGTGAGCTTTCCGGCGAGAGACAACGAGGACCAAGCTCTGATACCACTGTAAGGCTTTTAGATCTTCCAGCTCAGGTCTCCAGCCACACGAACCCAACAAGGGTTCTGAACAACTCACAACCACCACAAAGGACCTACCGGACCGGGAACCACCACCAAAGGCACCAGAACCCAAACCCGAACCCCGCTACCCTCTCAAACCTCTCCCTAGAACCCACAGAGCACACACACGAAGGAGGTGAAGAGAGGTGCGGAAGAAGGAGACTGACTAGAGAGAAACCGGACACTCTCTCTAAACGGAAGGCTCTAGAACTAGGGTTACACATATGCGGCTCACTCAAGGAAGAAAGGGCAGACAAAGGGTATACGTAGTCGGGTCAATCAAGCCCAAGAAAGGTAAGTAGGGTAAAGCAGGTAAGCACCGGGGCACAAAGGAAACACGCCAAGATAGGAGCAGGTGGGCTGGGTGGTAACCAAATGACTAAGGCCCAAGTCTCAGTAACAAATTAAGAAGAAGGACAAGGCCCATAGGGCCAATACCTCTCACACATGTTGTAAAAGTCATCGCATGAGAACAAGACCTCGCATATACTTTGTATAAGTTATCCAATAATAGTCACGATGATATAATATTATACGAAGTACGTAGTATATATTCTACATGCTTGGATTGCTAGCTAGAGATATAAATTTAGCTACTAATTAATTAATGTTATCATCCTCTTTGGTCGGCATAATGGAGAAGAGGATCGACAATAATATAAACTGTGTAGCACATGAGGGAGAAGTTGAAGAGTAGGCCAAGCGCACCGGCAATGGTGGCTCCTAAAACCTTAGAGCATAATTCCGGTGACACTTTACAAACTGGTCACCATTTCACATGAGAATTCTCATCCCGGAGGAGAAAATAAGTGTACATTGCTGCTCCCACGCTTGAAGCTTGAACCATGTTAACAATCTTAATCGTACAAACAAAAACAAAAAGTTACCACATATTGTTACTAATAATCAAGACTTTTTTTATTTTATTGTTAAAGATAAAGTGTATGTATGTGCATGTTTAAGAAGATTATCTTTAATTAGTACCACATCTATGATGACCACCAATCGCCACAGTGGACTTCCATTAGGAAGAAAAATAACTAAAAGGTTTTAAGATCCTCCAATAAAAGCCACGAGCTTAATGAATCTGTTCAAAGACAAGTAGAAGCTTTCTCAATACAACGACAACACCAATATTTTATACGGAGTATATCGAGAAAAACGTATGTAAGCTTCTACAAGTTCTATTCCCTTAAAAAGTGAAAAATGGGATAGTAAAACATGTTTTGTTTTGTAAAACCATCTCATCACTGACTCACTCCAATCGGCAGTTATACAAATTACGTATGAAAATTCAAATACGGAGTACTACATATGAATATATGGTATTAAACCAAATTAAGTTTGATTCATGAGCCCGAGTAATAACTCAAAATGCACACTACCTCAAAAAAAAAAACTCAAAATGCACACAATCATATACAAAGCCATTACAAGGATACTAACAAACACATAGGTAATGGGCTACTCTCTTATCGCAATTTAACAATTAGGCCGGGAAGACAAACAACCAAATGAGGCTAAGCTATTTTTAAATCATAATTATAAGGCTTAGCTTGTATCTACACAACACTACTCCAATTGAAAGATAATTAATCTCTACACACAGGTTTACACGCCAAGTGTTTCTTATTTGTGCGAAGATAATTTGTTTTCGTTTTAGTAAATAGAAATATATGTGATTGCGGGAAAGTGAATTGAATTGTCCATAATTTTCTCGGGGTCACAGACAATTGTCATTACAAACACCAAAAACAATTGGGTGGAGTGTAAGCCGGTGTCTACCCGTACCCGAAGAATGATTGAACTAATTTAAACTAAATAATACGGACTATAGTGTTATATTACTGGAAGTTGCTCCAAAATCTGTGTGGTATAATGAAAGTGATGTCATTCTTGTGGACATCTACGTGGCACAATATCATCGTCGAAGCTGCTGCGATGCTCAGAGCACACTCCACGCCTCTGCATACCATTGACAGATTCATTCACTACACCAAACAAACCAATTCACCGTCTCAAATGCAATTAAATATAACACAAACCATCATTTTAGTTGCCAATTGAGTAAATTATATTATGAGAGATCGATGTTGTGTACAAATAATATTAATTAATTATTAATTAATTAATTTCCTAATTGTCAAGCCCGTATATGTGGGAAGGGAATATTGATGCATGACTAAAGCCGTATATAGGGAAGAATGTTTTTGACTGTTTTTTTCGAATGTGCTGCAGTCCAATATTATACAAGGAGTAACCTACAAGGTACTGCCTACTTAGCATAAATAAGAACATGTTTTATCCCAAATAGGAATAATTACTTCCACAAATGTAAAATATTGCCAAATATAGCATTAATATTAAATTCCTGCATATGGAAATATGATTTCAGGATCCTAAATAAAACTAATTATTACTTTTATAGTTGAAAAATACAGTAAAATTACAAAGTATTTGTTTTTAAAATCAAATAACAAATTTATTCAAATCAAATAAAAGCAAAGAAACAAACAAACGAATAGTCTAATGCTACAATGGGATGAGACTAAACCGAAAATATCTCATGAATCCTTTTAGGTTATTAACCCCGCAATAACATAGTCTAGTCTAACAGCCTTACTGCATTTGTTACGTCAAATAAAAAGTATGAGTAAGGAATTGTAAAAAAAAAAAAGATTCGACTCTACCAACCACCGAAAAGGGATAATAATTTTTTACTATTTTGGAAGAGAAGGGTGCATTACTTCTATTTTTAATGTTGCATTATTTTTACTCCTACTTTACGAATTTGTTAAAATAAAATCCAAGAACCAACTAAGCATGTTTCTTTTGGACAGAAACTTGTTGGTATAGTACGATAAATGTCTGGTCTTTGTGTATTTTGGAGGGTGTTTGGATAAGATTCTTAAAATTAATTCTTCTTTTTTAAGGAATAGAAGCAGAAGTTAGAGTGTTTGAATAAAAGTGTATAAATACTTCTAGTGCTCTAATTTATTCCTAGAAGATGGGAGAGAATAACGAGTCTGATTTTACTTCTCTTTAATATGAATACGAAGTACATAGGATGTTTTCTTTTGGACTGAAGTTTGTTGGTCTGGTCTGATCTGGTCTAATTTAGTTTGATCTGGTCTAGTAAATGTCTGATCTCTGTATATTTTATAACTACGGAAGTATGCTAGTGGACTGAAAACCGTCGAAGAAAAAATACGTAATACTTCCTCCGTTCTTTTTTAATTGCAACGGTCAACATTTCACACTTGTCAATACACATCTTTGACCATAATTATATTTTAATCTCTATTAGTAAAAAAAAATTAAAATCAGATTTTGAAAATTTGTAATGAAATGAATTGGACAATATTTATTTAAAAAAATAATTTTTCATAAAATAATAGAGTAAAATGTAGTCAAAGTAAAACATGTGAATAGTGTAAAATTAAACATGTTACGATAAAAAAAAGGGAGGATAATATAAGAAAAAAATCAATCAAACTCACCATTCCCCATTTTATAACATTTCCCCAAGGTTGTTAAAATCTCGATTTAAATCGTAAAATCGTACGATTTTACGATTCTACATTAATAAAGCGATTCAAATCGCAGGTAAAATCGTAAAATCATAAAATCGTACAAAATCGTCTTAAAATCGTGTAGAATCGTATGAAATCATAGCAAAATCGTAATAAGTTGTTTTTGGTGAAAATGGTTCAAATTTATTAAAATTAACAACTACAAATTGATACATAATTCCTATAATAATATGAATAGTTTATTTATAAAAGTAATGGATTCTTGTGTTACTTAATTATTTTTATGTTTTACATATGTTTATTATTCAATACATTTACATTATAAAAACAGTTTATAAATCTTGCTTTTGACATTTTAGATATAATTTTATGTAATGAAATGATATAATATCATTAACTTGCAACTTAATTTTAATATTTATTTATTTTATAATTATTAAAATATGTTTGGTAAAATCTTACCAAACATATGCCTATTCAATTCAAAAATAGGATTTAACGACCTTGCATTTCCATTCCTAGTTTCTAAGCTAGAGAATCAAGGAAACCGCTGTAGAAGCAATCTCGTTGCATTTGATGCATTTGTATGTTTCTACGAGTACATACACTTTCAAGTGCTTTTCTCTGACCAGAGGATTTCTTTCTTTTGAAATTCGTTGCCTTTCAACGCTTGTTTGCCCTCTCTTGCGAATATCAATCGCATTTCTCCCAAAACACAATTTCATTTCAGGTGAAAACTGAAATTCCGATGTTTTTTACCTCAGGCTTTAAGAAACGCTCTCTTCATCTTGGATTGATTTTTTACAGTTGTTGCTCATTTCTTCGCTCGATTCAAGGAAGCAATTGTACAGATCAATTTCCATGTGATTTTAAGTTTGGAGTCCAGTTTGCTTTCTTTTCCTTTATATTCTTCTCCATTTTTTCGTTCAGGGATTATTTAAATATTGAATTGAATGGATGAGCCCAGTAGTTCCTCTGCAGTTCCTTATCGAGGCTGGAGAAAAGGCAAGTCCTTACTGATTCTTGAGTTTCTTTTGCTTCAGCTTACATTTAGATAAAAATATTGTTTGAATTAATGTTAACTGTTATGGTAATTGAACTCTCAAAATGACGATGTAACTTCAACTAAAGTAGTCTGCCCATGACAATATAATCTGCCAACTACGCAAAAGTCTGCAGCATTGGTCAATCTATGCGCACCTCCTACTGTATGGACTTCAGGAGGAGACTGACTATGAGGTACCAATACCATTTTGTATCACACTAAACCAAACCAAACCAAACATACCGGTATGTCCCACTGGGTGGCAGGGTCCAGGGGGTGATGTGTACACTCCTTACCTCTATCCCTAGGATTAGAGTGGTTGTTTCCGTAAAGACAGCAGGCTTAGGACAAATATGGGAAGTATAGGAAGTTGTTAAAATTTTGAGAGCTCTTGAATATTTTAGAAGATTTTACCAAGTTTTTTGGAGTTGAAACAGCTACATATTTCTTATGTTTGACACTAATAGGATCTGTAGTTGGCATTTCTTTATTTCCATGACTTGCAAATGATATATATCTTCACTGAAGTTGGTTGATCAAAGTTACTAATCCTAATTGCTTCCTTATTGAAACTCATCCATAACTTGCAGCTGTGTACCAGTTTACGCAACAAAATCTCCCAGCCTGTAAACCTGTTTTAACACCGGCATGGGTAGGCAATCAAAATTCTATGCTTTGGTATTTGGTATGTTACTATTGTGATCCTTTGCTATATCATCCTTGCAGGTTATTTCAACATTTTTCATCATAGGATTCATCTTTATTCCCATGGGGCTTTTCTTCCTTCATACTTCACAAAGTGTAATAGTTTTGTTTAACATCTAGCGATAGTAATATGGAGTTTTCTTTATCTTCTTGCTCCATACTACCTTGAAGGACTAATTATGTTTGTATTGCAGGTTGTTGAAATTGTTGATGGGTATGATACTGAGTGTGTACCTGTACCATTTAGGAACAGCAAAGTGTCATATATCAAAGATGACTCAGTTTCCAAAAATTGTACCCGATACTTGAAGGTTACTTCTCTGTAACATTGTATCAGTCAACATGCATACTAAATAAAACAGGGTTGTCCATATAGATCCATATGGTCAAATAGGACAGAGTTTACAAGAATATTCAAAACATTTTATTTATGAGCAAAAATACTTTTTGAAATGTATATTCAAGTCCGAAAGGGCCAATTGCAAATGGTGCTTGAGACTCAAATCTCGAGAAACAAAGACAAGATTGCTAACTGCAAATGATGCTTGAGACTCAAATCGTGGGTTATATATTACATGTATTTTACCTTGCATTCTTTTAACTTTTTGTTTGCATTTTCCTTTACAGGTTCCTAAGCACATGAAGGCTCCAATATATGTTTATTATCAGCTTGATAACTACTATCAAAACCACAGAAGGTGAGATTCTCTACTTGAACTTGTATGAATCACAGCTATAACTTAATTACAATTACCAATTGAATAATATGAAAAATAACAATTCTATTGCAAACGGAAATTACCTGGTATGGAAAGTATGCTTGGAAAATACTCAAATTTAGAAAGAAAAAATCACTGCACCCATTGAATGTAGAAACCTTGGATCATCCAAATCCAGTGTGATAATAAATTTGGCTCAATCATGCAATGATCCACTAGGGTTTTGAGAACAGAGTTTTTCCTACTCAGTGCATTAGTTGTTATGCTTATTAATGTTGTCTTATCTTTTTGTGGAATGGTGGAGATTAAATAGTGGTTTCAGTGTTAAAGTAGTGGCAATGTTGTTTCTCTTTCAGTTATATTAGTTTTTAGTTATTGAGGAGGGGACCATCTATGACACTGATTTTAATGAAATTATCCTTTAGAGAATAAATATATACTCCCTCCGTCCCAATTTGATGATCCCATTTCTTTTGGGCTCAAAGATTAAGGAAGTGGTTGAAAAGGTAAAAGTTGTGGTTGAGATTTGAGTAGAAAAAGGTGAAATGATGTGGACCACATATTTCTTTCCAAAAAGGGAAATGGGACTATCAATTTGGGACGGCCCATAAAGGAAATACGGGATCATCAAATTGGGACGGAGGGAGTACATGATAAAATCTCAGTGTGCACATTGATAGGAATCACTGCCTTAGCAAGGAACCAACTATTGACTATGCAATGTTCATTTGATATTTGTCAGTGATGCATAAAAAGGTTTGGGTAAGACCAGAATGGTTTGATATCCAAACTGATTGAACTCCCTATATTACTACCTTTTATAGGCAAACATGTCCCTGGGGTTTGACGAAACTAAAGTTGACAATCAAACAGGAAAAATAGGAACGATAAGGAAATTAAGTCAAATATTTCTTTTCCCTGACATCTTTCATGCATGCGCGCTCATAGTCATATACATAGATGGAATCCGCGGAGGAAATTGATAGAGATTCAACCAAAACAGCAGAAATCAGTAGTATATTGATGAAAATCGCAGACTTACAAGTGCGGAAATCGTAAGAAAGAGAAAAAACTGATAGTTGGGACTCTTTGAGAGGTCCCGCTCTCCCAGCCTAACTCCTTATTCCTCCCTCTCCTTCTATTTATACTACCCGTACAATTATTATTATTATTATTATTATTATTATTATTATTATTATTATTATTATTATTATTATTATTATTATTATTATTATTATTATTATTATTATTATTATTATTATTATTATTATTATTTATATTATTATTAGCCCGGTCCCTATCATATCTTCCCCTTAGACAACCACCTTGTCCTCAAGGTGGGTGATAGGTAACAGCCCTGACCATCCTCTTCATTCTTGAGCCTCTTCCTTCTCAATAAATCACAGATTTATGTATCTCTAGCTTCAGCACTTGACCCTTTATCCTCACTTCCTCAGACCAGCATTTCTCTAAGGTCTTCACAGCCTTATCATAGACCTCATTGTTGTCCTGAATCTGGAAATTAGCAGTCTTGTCTAGTCCTTCATAATCATCAACCATCTGCGCATATAACATGATTAACATCACCCCACTATTCAACCCACTTTCTTTGTCCCCTTTGCCTACTTTCAGAATGTTCTCCAGCCCTTCAAGGCATATAGTAACCATTCTTGGATCTTGACAGAACGAGAGATCATAGAGCATCTTAATGCAGCCGTTACTTGCCAAGCACCTAATCTGATCATGAGAGCCTCCCGATGTGGGCTTAGAGATAGCCCCGGCAGCTTCTTTCTCAATGTCAACTTCTACATTTTGAAGGAGGTGTACCAAAGGAATAATGATATATGCCTCAATAATTGCCTTTATATGATCTCTACTCCCAGCAGTGATATTAGATATTGTCCAGCAAACTTCAGTCCAAACCTCTTCCTCTTTCATGTGGATGAATGGCTGAAGGACTGGCAATACAGCTTTGACCCGGGCAAATGGTGTTGGTGGCTTGCCTGGCCAGAAGCTTGACAAAGTCCCTGTAGCATTTCTCAACATACAAGGCTCCGAATGCTCATTTGACTGAACTAGCAATGGTAGGATTGCACCATGACCAAGACCCCCGATTGCTACAGCTTGGGGCATCACAAGAAACCTATCCTAAAGCCCAGACAGCCTGCTCACGAACCTTTTAAATTGGAGGACTGCGTTCAATTGTCAACAGCTGTCTTGATGGTGTCGTTGCTTGATAATCATATGGTTGGGGTTTAGAATATAGTGTAGTGCCCAATTCAGAGCTGTTTGCATCTTCTTCACCATCTGAATAGACTCTCTCTAAAACTCGTAGATCAGCACAGAATATAATAGGTTTCTGCTCCCCAATGTCCTCAATTAATAACTTGATATCCCCATGCCAAAATCCTATTGATGCACCATGGCTGATGAAACATACTTCAATCAATCAATAAAAATGTGAGCCAGAGTGAGATAGGAACTGTATCCATCATTCAATAAAAGCGATTCATTCACACTCTCTATCAAACGCTTTACCCCAGTCATAACAGTAACAATAGAATAATTTGAAACCTAAGCACCTTTGGGGTCTCTAGTAGTCTCACTGGTATAAATTCTTGTCCAAATGTCTGTTTTCTTCTTTGCTGGAAGATTTAATTTCTTATCTACTCCCGTTTTTCATTTGAGTCCCAAATAATCGGTAATATAGAATTATTGGTAATAGCAGGGTTTGTCTTATCCCCACCGAAGGTGGGAGCTTATGCGGCACTGGGGTAATGATGATGAATGAATGAAAAGCAGGGTTTGTCTTATAAAACATCAACAGCCAACAGAAATTGTGCACAACAGTGGTGCCATCCGATCTAAGATTCTCCAACAGCCAAAGCACCAAGTCTAGGAAGTTTTCTTCTCCCATTTCCTTTATAAGAGAGCCAATAGCTCTTGTAGCCACAGAAGTACAGAACGAACTCCAGGAATAAGAGCCTGAGGACCTTCTGGCTCAAAACACTCTGACTGTTCTCCATTTTTCCAGGGTCACCAGTAACGACCATGGACAGCGGCTTCGGCTCCAGAGAACTTTTATCAGCTTCTCTAGCGGAAATTTGCTCTAGATTGGCGACCCTCTGAACATCCTCAGCACTATTAGGAGTTAGGACCCAATTGGACTCTCTCTTCTTCTACCTTTTCTTTGAGGCGCGAAGAAATAATACTTTCAGGGGAAGTTTTCCACTGATTATCTGACTCCCTAGGGGACGTTGAAATTTGTGAACGGTGAGTAGCAGCTCGCAACAGAGCTTGTGAACCGGGGACATCTGCTCGTTGCGAAGTTGGCGAACTGGGAGAAGTTGCTTTTGGCTGAGACCAAACATGCGCACTTAGCAACGATGCCTTCAAATTGAGGAGATCTGTTCGTGAAGAAGCTGAAGCGGCTTGCGATGACATCTGCGAACCGTTAGAATCAGCTAGCGACTTCGAACTGGGAGCAACGACGAATAATGATGCTGAGCTGATTCTGGAATTCTGGCAGCTTCTAACCGTCCTCGATCGTCCTCGCTGGCGACATTGTTGACGCAGATGATTTATCATCTCGTCCAACATCGTTTCCATCTTCGTGACATGGCGTTCGAAATTTCCTGTGCTATTCTCCATCTGCGCACGCGCAACAGTTCTTCTCTACAGAAATCAGTAGTATATTGGTGAAGATCGCAGAGTTACAAGTGCAGAAATCGTTAGAAAGAGAAGAAACAGATAGTTGGGAGATGGGACTCTTCGAGAGGTCCTGCTCTCCTAGCCCAATTCTACATAATTCCAGCCTAACCCCTTATTCCTCCCTTCCCTTCTATTTATTATTATTTATATTACTACCCATACAATTATTATTTATATTATTATTATTAGCCCGGTTCCTTTCAGAAATGCATTTAGTGAGAGCATCACTATTGCAACAATATGCACCGTACGCACATGGCATGAATGATGGATGAATACATAAAAGAATATAAATATATTTCCCTCCCTTTCTTCAGTTTTTTTAAGTAAATTTTTTTCACGAATGTCAAACACAGTGTCTAGTTATAGACATTATACTTGAAATTGCATAGACACAGACACCAAAACATAGAAACTATGAAAATCAAGAGAGAATTTATGTGTTCAAATTTTTGTCTCTCATACACTGTTTCACTAGAGATGATATGAAGTGCTGTAATGGCTCATAAGTCATAACTGATGTCCACGACTTGAATGCCGTAAATGCATGTAATGTAGTTAGTAAGTGCCCTAGTGCAGTATTATTAGAAAGCATAGCGTATTGAATATTCTGCCATATCCAATCAAAAAAGAAATATTGGAAATCAGATGTGACAATCCCACATCAACATGCAATGGTTATAATAACAACAAATTAAATAATTATTATAATAGTCATCCATATTCTTAACGTTTTTTTTTGGCAAACATTCTTAACGTTGTTAGAAAGTCATTTTTGACGCGGCAAAAAAAGCACAAAAATGAGGCATTCACCTCAGATGGACACTTAAGCCTTGGTCATTTTAAATGAGGCATACACCTCAGATGGACTGAGGCTTATGCCTCAAAGGCGTACCCTTTGAGGTCTCATGCGCCTCAGATTTATTGAGGCTTAAGTCTCAAAGTTATTTTTTAAACTTCTGATCTGATCCTGGGCTTATCATTTGAAAATGAAATTCATACTGGGCCTTTTTATTCAATAGCCAGCACTCTTTAAGTCCATTAGAAACCCTAAAATATATGTGTCACATAAAAATTAACACATTTTTCTTCACGCAGCTTTTACTGTTTGGCTGCTTAGATAATAGATAGAAATGTAACTAATGAAGATAATGGAAACTTCAGATAGCCTGTTTCTTCAGATGAACCTTGAGTGAAGATGAGAGGAAGGATACTTTTAAGTGCTCTTTGTAGTCTATCCTCTTGCGTTGTATGGCATTGGGTTATGGCCTATGCCTCAGTTCTGAATTATGTGTTTAAATGTAACTTGTGTTTGTTTTGGTTACCCTAAGTATAAACTTTGTTTTGTGGCCAAGTGGCTTTTCAGATTTTAAATTTATGACTTTTTTATTTCCTAAAAATTCTGTGTCACAAACCGCCTCAAGGCTGTATACTTTGAAGCTTACATCCCATACCGCCTCAAGGCTTATGCCTTGCCTCATATAAACAAAATGCCGTGAGGCTTTAACAGCTTTTTCAAATCTTTATTCTTATAAAAATTATGCTTGAAGTTTTTGATAAGTTATCATCCATTTCTATATTGCTGCCTTTAGTCTTTGCTTCTGGTCATTTTATTTCACTTTCAGAAACTCAGTTCTTGTGTTATTTACCATGCATTTTTACTCTACTTTACAATCTTAATCTAGGTATGTGAAAAGCAGAAGTGATCAACAACTGTTACATGGGCTGAAATATAACCATACAGGCTCTTGCAAACCGCAGGACACTAATAATGGTCTACCAATTGTCCCATGTGGCCTGATTGCATGGAGCGTGTTTAATGACACATATGACTTATTCCGCGGGGTTGATGAAATAAAAGTCAACAGAAAGAACATTGCATGGAGGAGCGACCGTGATCACAAATTTGGGAAGCATGTGTATCCGTATAACTTCCAGAATGGGTCCTTAATTGGTGGCGCAAAGTTAGATCCTAGCATTCCTGTAAGATTTAACTTTTATGCTCAAACAGTTGACTAAGAATCAGCTAAACTTAATCTTTTGGCAATTCTGCTGTAGAAATTATTTTGACAACATTATATCCCCCCACTCACACACACACACTCAAGAAAAAGGGGAGGACAACACTTGGAGCCCACCTATCTACTCCAAGTTTAAAGTAGAAAATAATAACACAAAGGCTGCCTATGATAGTTAAGAGCAAAAGCTTCTTTATTCAAGAAGCTGGTAAAATAGAGACAAGAGTTTCTTTTTGAAGAATCTCATGCTTGGCCAAAGAAGCACTCAAGCACCGAATACTCGGTGTAATCGAAATAGTGTTTTCTTATGCTAATGGAACTCAGTTTTCTATACCTTAAAGTTTCAACTGTCAGGTTCATAGCAGCTTAATATACTGTCGTCTTCTCATGTGTATTGGTAAGTACATAACCGTACACAATATGTATATAAACAATACAAACTGAAAATTGCTTTCTGTATGCCCTGAGTATGCACATCATTTTCCTGTAAAGTGAGAGCGCCCAAAACGTCTTTTACCAAATGAATTGCCAGGAGTCCCTTGAGTAATGTTTATATTTTTAGTCTCAACTAAATTGTCACATGTAGTTTCATCTTACTCCTTTTTCCCTTGATTGAATTTTTTATTGTCATCTATACATGTACTGCATATTTTTTAATTACCTTTCTATTTTTGTGTCTTTGGCTTCAACCATCAACTAGCTGAGTGATCAGGAAGATCTTATTGTATGGATGCGAACTGCTGCCCTCCCAAGCTTCCGAAAGTTATATGGAAGAGTTGAGGAAGACTTACATGCAGGTGATGTTATAGTGGTGAAGCTTTTGAACAACTATAATACCTATAGTTTTGGTGGGCGGAAGAAACTTGTTCTTTCAACATCTAATTGGCTAGGAGGCCACAACAACTTCCTCGGAGTGGCCTATATTTATGTGGGATCTACATTTATCTTCATCGCATTTGTGTTCATACTGCTTCATATGAGAACTCCAAGGTAACATACAGTAGTTGCTGATCTTATCGTATTAGCGGATAATTATTGCTTCTGATTATTTTTAATCATGAACTTATAAATCCTAAAAAAGAGTTTGCCAGTTTTAGTCTGGTGGACTGGTTGAGTGTATCTAAACAAAACAAACAAATGAAGTTATACTCCATTTGAAAAAGTCAATCTTCCTTTCTGGAAACTCCAATGCTGATGTGCATTCTCGTTAAAAATAATATACTGTTTAGATTAATTACTTCTTGTCCTTCCTACAGTGTATCAAATAATTGATTAGAGAGACATGTTGCAATACTAAGATTGTCTAGGATATAGTTTCGAGGAAAGAGTACTATGATGTTACTAAAATAGTCCTAGTTACAAGCAAGAAATCATTTATTGTCTGTTTGTTCAAGAGACTAAATATTTATTTAGAATTTGGGTACATTGGAACAACACACCGAATTTTTGTTTATCCTTGAACCTCTTAAGTTATTCCTTTTATATAATTTCTTATAGATAGAAGCCAGCGACCTTCACCTTTCATGGCGTTTGCTTTTCTTTAGTTTTGTCTTTGGATCTGCGTTTTGTGTAGAACTTACGGAGAGACAAACATAGCTTGGAACTGGAAAGGTGGTCCAAATTGAAAGGTGAAGTTGCTGCAATGCTGATTCTGAAAATTTGGTTTACTTTCAAAGTATGGTATATCTAAAGCTCCATATTGTTAAACTTGATGCTCGGATCCATGTTGATTCTTGACCGCATGTTAGATTACCACTTGTAATTTTATTTGTAATCATTCATGGAGGTGCTAGTAACATTTTAAATATCTGTGGATATTTGCGGCGGTGAACTGCAAGTACTGATGTGGAAAGGGGGTGAAGGATATTTTGCATGAAAGCCACTATAGATGAGAAGAGCCATCCTCCCTCCATCTGATATATATTTATAACTCAACTAATTATTGTATCCCCATTTTTTCCACCATGTGTGTTCAAAATGAATTGTTTTGTTTTTCACTTTCTGTAAAGGAAACTCTCGAACTCCAGGTAAGGTAATTAAGAGGTAGTGCCTGGACAATGAATGTAATTACGCTGTGAAACAATGGTCGGAGTAAAGGACCAGGGAATGATTTGTAACATGAAATCGCAGTATATTCCTAGCAAGATGACTCCCAAAAGCCTATACAACCGCTTTATTCTTCCCCTCTAAATGTTTAGTGTAATTATGAACAAACGAAAGACAGACAGCACCCCCACTCTATTTAAAGTTTTAAACAGAACTTGGACGAAACGCTAAAGGTAATTAGAACAAACGAAAGACAGACATCACTTACCAGAATCTGAAACGCCGATTCATTAGTTTTGACTTTTGAGAAAGCAAAAGAGTAATTGCCCATGTAATACGCTTTTTAAATGAAAAAAAGAAGTGAGTTTTTACAAAAAGAAAAATATGAAATGATAGATGAAACTTTCTGTTGAAAAGTGGTGCCCATCATGAAAGATAGTGAAAATAAAAAGCTAGAGGAGTTCGAGACTTCGAGTTATGAAGGTGATTGAAAATTTGAAATTGTTAAAAAAAAAAGTATACGAACAAAATAGGCCTGCATTACTGTATGGCACGGAGTGTTAGGCGGTGAAATAATGTCACATTCAAAAGATGAGTGTGGCAGAGATGCGCATGCTGCGTTGGATGTGTGGGCATACTAGAAAGGACCGCGTGAGGAATGAGACAATCAAACAAAGGGTGGGAGTAGCACCTGTTGAAGATAAGATGCGGGAGTCGCGCCTACGGTGGTTTGGTCATGTGCATAGAAGACCGAGTGATGCACTTGTCAGACGCGTTGAGATGTGTGGAGAAGAGGCAGGGAAGAGAGGGAGAGGAAGGCCCAAACAGACATGTGTTAGGGGAGTCAGAATGGATATGCTTCTTCTTGGATTGGATGAGAGTATGACTTTGGAGAGAGCAAAATGGAGGGCGGGTATTCGTGTGGAGGAGTGATCTTGTATAATCTTTGCCCCTCTTTTTCTTTCTTTCTTTGTTTTGTTTTTATATTTCTATCCTTATATATAAATATTACTTTATTCTTTGTATTTTATCTTTTATATGTATATTCATCTCTTTTATATTATCTTTTTTTTATAATAGCTTATCTTTTTTATCTTTATTTTTTTTCTTTTCCTTTTGGTGATATCATGTATCGATTCATGTTAGCCGACCCCAATATCATTTGGGACTAAGGCTTGGATTTTGTTGTTGTTGAACAAAATAGGGCTCCGATGGAGTAAAGTAAACGTCAATTTACATGAGTAAGAGCTATTCTCACTTTATTTCATTGTGTTATTTAAGATCTTGAACAAAATATAGTCATGATGCAAGGAACTAATGGAAGCAATCAATAAAACACTATCGATACAAATTAAGATACTTTCTATAATTGTATATGTGGTGTCACGTAGTGTACTTTTTTTTTATATTGGTAGTAATTGAAGTCACATTTTATCTCAAGAATGCAACCACGTGAAGATGGCAAGATCCATATGTAACACTTAATAAATTAGACTAACCAATTTAACAATGAGTGATCAAATTATGAGGAAATAATGGCTTACCAAACTAGGTAGCCTCATGGTATATTTATATTTATAATATAAAGATAATATGGAAAGTACAAGAATATCCTAGAATACACTTGACTATTACACCCCCTCAATCTGTGCAGAAGACATGACACGCAGATTGGATTTCAAAAATTCAAAAGGCTGACTAGACAAGTTTTTCGTAAATATATCAGCTAACTGAAACTTTGTAGGAATATATTTTACAATAAGATCACCATGAGCTACCCGTTCCCTGACAAAATGATAATCAATTTTAATGTGTTTGCTTCAATCATGTTGTATCGGATTCACTGCTAAATACGATGCTGAGACGTTATCACAATAGAGCTGAACTGGTTTGGGTAAGAAGAAGCCCATATCGGTAAGAAGAGATCGAATAAATAGTGTATCCTGAACGGTATAAGCAATAGCCCTGTACTCAGCCCCCGTAGAAGATTTAGAGACAATGGGTTGTTTCTTTGACCGCCAGGAAATCAGATTATCTCCCAAAAAAATAGCATAACCTGTAGTAGAGCGGCAGCTATCGGGGCATCCTGCCCAGTCTGCATCTGAGTATGCAACAATAAGAGACGTATCACTCCCTTTCCTCAACCACAGACCGTCAGAAATAGTACCCTGTAAATATGTGTAGATACGCTTCACAGCAAATAGGTGAGTAGTACGCGGAGCATGCATAAACTGGGAAACTAAATGTACAGCATAAGTAATGTCCGGTCTGGTAATGGTCAGATATTGTAAGGCACCTACCATGCTGCGGTACTCAGTACCATCGGCCAAAAGTTCTCCATCAGTCAGGGAGAGAGTGGTATGAGACGGAAGAGGGGTACAGACATGTTTAACAGTATGAAGATGAAAACGACGCAAGAGATCGGAGATGTATTTTTGTTGTGACAAAAACATCCCCTTAGAAGTGTGAAGCGTCTGAATACCCAGAAAATAATGAATCTCACCCAAGTCTTTCATAGCAAAAGTGTGAGACAGAGTAGAGATAAATGAAGAGACTGTGGATGAGGAATTTCCTGTAATAAGTATATCATCAACATATAAAAGAATATAAATAGAGCAAGAATTATGACGATACACAAACATAGAGGAGTCAGACTTACTCTGTGTAAAACCATGACTGAGTAAGAAACCACTAAACCTGTGAAACCAAGCTCTGGGAGCTTGTTTAAAACCATACAATGCCTTATGTAGCCGACAAATATGATGTGCAAAAGAGGGATGAACAAAACCTTGTGGCTGACGCATATAGACTTCTTCAGTGAGATAGCCATGTAAAAAAGCATTTTTGACATCTCACTGACAGACACTCCAACCAAAGGAAGTAGCAAGAGGTAGTAAAAGACGAACAGTAGTGGGTTTAACCACTGGACTAAAAGTCTATGAAAAATCCACTCCAGCCTGCTGTTTGAACCCTTGAGCTACCAACCGGGCTTTATGACGTTCAATGGACCCATCAGAATTATATTTAGTTTTATAAATCCACTTGCATCCTACCACGTTTTTGCTAGGGTCGTAAGGTACCAAATCCCAGGTCTTATTAGCAATTAATGCATTAAACTCCTCAGCCATGGCTGCCCGCCACTTTAAATTTTTATTTGCTTGTGAAAAACACGTAGGATCCGGGGGACACTCACTAGCCGTAAGGGAGAAAATGTTTTTGGGTTTAAAAATACCATTCTTAGCCCGTGTGCGCATGGGATGAATATTATGAACTGGGGGAGGAGAAGGGGCTGGGCTGGGCGAAGGAGTTGATGAAGAGGTAGGACTAGACGGGGCTGTGGGGCTGGACGAGGCAGTGGGGGTGGACGGGTTTGTGGAGAATGGGCTGGTCGAGGCAGTGAAATCGTGGAGTGGTGAGGGTAACTAGAGAGTTGTGTCGGGAGCCGAGGACTGTGAGGAGGGTGTAGTGACATGAGTATGCGGTGTAGGAGCATATTGGAGAGAAGGCTTGCGGACGTTGGTGGCTCTGTAGGGAGGTGGAGGAGCAGACACCGGTGGAGTAGGAACAGTGGGGGAGACTTCGGCATAGGGAAATTTTGACTCATGGAAAAGGACCTCACGACTAATATAGACCCTACCGGTGACCGGATCAAAATATCGATACCCTTTGTAGCCGGATGCGTAGCCAAGAAAAACACAACGGACAGACCGAGGTGATAGCTTATTTGCCGAAGTGGCAATTTGATTTGGAAAACACTCACACCCAAAAACCCGTAAAAAGGAGTAGTCCGGTTGTTTATTTAAAAGTTTATAATACGGACTAAGACCATATAATACAGGAGTGGGTAAACGATTTATGATATATGTAGCAGCATAAAGGGCGTCGACCCAAAAGGAGGGTGGTAAGTGTGCCTCAATAAGCATGGTACGAATTAATTCCAAAAGATGACGATGTTTGCGTTCTATTACACCATTTTGAGCGGCGGTGTCCGGGCATGATTTTTTAAAAAGGATACCACACTTAAGAAAGTGAATAGAAAAAGTATGATTATCAAACTCACCCCCACCATCACTCTGAAAACACTTAATTTTACAATTTAACTGATTTTCAACTAAGGTTTGAAAATGACAAAAATGAGTAAAAACTTCGGATTTACGACGCATGGGATAAACCCAAGTGAACCTAGAAAAGTCATCAATAAAACAAACATAATATTTAAACTGTAAATGTGACAGAACAGGCGATTGCCAAACATCCGAGTGAATTAATTGTAAAGGTGCAATATCAGAATGTAAAACATCTTGAAATGGCAATCTGTGGGATTTGCCAAGTCTACATGAAGTGCATGAAAAATTAAAACTACTAGTATTATTAATTAAATGTGTGCGCCGCAAGGTGGACAAAACGCTATCACCACAATGACCCAACCGTTTATGCCAGACTTGACCAGGTGCAGACAAGGTAAATAAAGCTGAAGACACTCTTGGCGAGGTAAATGGATAGATCCTATCTTTATGAGAAGCTCAGAGTAGAGTTGCCCCCGTGTGATTGTCCTTAACATAAAAAACATTTTTGTCAAAAATAACCGTGCAATCATTATCCTCACATAACTTTTGAATAGACAATAAATTAAATTTTAGGTGAGGAACATGATAGACAGATTTTAAAGATAGCGGGCGCTGAGCTGTAGGTAAAATAATATCACCAATTGTAGACACTGGTAAATTAGTTCCATTAGCAACCTGCACAGTTATGGAGTTTGCAAGAGTAGATTTATTTGTCAAAATACCTTCTGTGGGTGTCATGTGTGCCGAGGCTCCAGAATCAGGATACCACACTGACTCATTGGTATCTCCTGTAGGGAGTGCAGCAAGAGCGGGAGTGGATCCAGAGGTGAACCTGTGACATGTTAGAGCCGAGTGGCCGGGAGAAAAACACAATTGACACACAACGGGAGGCATTGGGGAATGATGAGATTGATCTACTGATGAAGAACCTGCACCAAAAGTATTAGTACCACAGACATAAGGTGTATACAATGTAGAATTCACCAGAGGGAGATTACAAATACCGGCATTAGAGAACCCAGAGGATGAATGTCCATGATTGTAGTCAAAAATAC